GCAGATTTTCTGTGTCTGCTGGGATTTGTCTGCATTTTTAAAAAATTCCTGTGATCTAGTAACATAACAATGGCCTATTGTAGAAAGTTTGTTCGCGTGGCAGGTGTCACAGCCTCAGAATTACTGGAAGCCACAGACATTGGATGTCTTCAGCTAATGTAAATTGCCATTCACACATCTCTTGAGGCTTTAAGCAGCACATACAATAGACTCAATGGTTATCTCAGACCAGCCTTTTGTGAGGTTCCAAAGCATTGTTCAATCAATAAATCTTTTCTTCAATCAGATCCCAAACAGTTGGCAGTCTCCCACTGTGCTATTTACAGCTTCTCAGGCTGTGATGTAGCCCTATGTTGGCTTCTTACTCATGACTTAAAAGAGATGGGCGAGATTCACAAAAATGTATCTCTTATTATATAGGTTAGACATTTTCAAGGGTTATTATGTTGTTTGTTTCAGACATAGAATAGGGATCACTAATTGCATTTTCTTTTGTAAAAGAAACTTGCATTGTTAATGGATGCTGTATTTCGGTGGGTGGTCTGTTGTCTGGATTTAAAGGGTGCAATGGTTAAACTCTATCTTCATCTGGCGTATATAACAAATGCAGGTAATCATTGATAAAGGACGTTCTATAAATATATCTGTTGGGGGGGGGGGGGACCAAAGCACACCCCTAAGTGCACTCTTTTTGTGTTGGTGTTTTACACTTGCACGTGTTTTATATATATATATTGTACAGCGCTGAGCAAACCCTTTGGCGCTATATAAACTCCATGTAATGTTCACTTGCGGGTTTTTAATTTTTTCACACCTCCGCGGACTTAAAAAAAAAAAATTCCAGCTTTTTAAATGGTCATTTAGTGCATTAAAGCTGGCCATAGATGGATGAATCTCAGGCAGCTCAGCAGGGACTAGGCAACATTCCATCCCTCTATGGGTAAGCTGGTTGAATTATTGAATGTATTTATCGTATGCCTGGAACTATATTGCAGTGTGGTGCGCTGCGTCGCAGTATAGGGTGAGATGTACCCCGATAACGAGTATCATGTTTTTTTATACTTCTGTAATAAAGTATCTTTTTCAATCAAAAAAAATGGGTAAGCTGGTTGTACTGTGAAGTTGATCCATCGATCAACTTTGTTACAACCAGCCTGTTGTCGTGATGACGGCCAGAAGTGATTGATTTATTTATTTCAGGTACTTATAAAGTGCTGTCAATTTACGCAGCGCTTTGCATATATATTGTACATTCACATCAGTCCCTAACCCTCAAGGGGCGTACAATCTAAGGTCCCTAACTCACATTCATACATACACATACTAGGGCCAATTTAGACAGGATCCAGTTAACCTACCAGCATGTCTTTGGAGTGTGGGAGGAAACCGGAGTACCCGGAGGAAACCCACGCAGGCACAGGGAGAACATCCAAACTCCAGGCAGGTGGTAGATTTGAACCAATGACCCTAGTACTGCCAGGTGGAAGTGCTAACCATTTAGCCACTGTGCTGCCCATGTTCTGTCGGCAGGGATGCCTTGCGGCCAGCAGAACACAATAGCACTGGGGGAATTGAACAATTTTCTTCCACCCATGGTGGAAAGAAAGAAAATTGTATAATCTATAGGCTGTTAAAGAGATTACTGATGTCCACAATCTGGGGACATGTCTAATGGTGCAAGCTCACTGACTGGATTTTCTGTTTGCACAGTTTTAAAAAACATCTGCAGCGAGATTGGTTTACCATATACAGGCATACCTCGGTTTGCAAATGGGATGTTTCGTATTGCGGAATATTCGTAAATCGAAACACGGTTTCCCATAGGAATGCATTGAAAACCAATTAATCCGTTCCGGAGGTTAGAAAAAAAAGTATATAAAAAAAAAGTCTTATGTGTTCAAAACTCTTTATAAAGTGCACTTTAAAGGCATAAATACTGTACAGGGACATGATTAAAATTTAATTTGTAAATGCATCGAAAACCAATTAATCCATTCCGGAGGTCAGAAAAAAGTAAAAAAAAAAAAAGGCTTCTGTTCAAAACTCTATATAAAGTGCACTTTAAAGGCACAGGGCGAGCGCTATAAACTTCCCAGGCGCAATGCATCCTGGGGAAACTGTGTATTGTGAAAAAAAAATTAGTAAACCGAGGCATTAGATTGTAAGCTCCAAGGATCAGGCCCTCCTATCCCTCTTGTATTGATCTGTATTGTTGCTGTATTGTCTCCTGTTATATTGTAAAGTGCTGAGCAAACTGTTGGCTCTATATAAATCCTGTATAATAATAATTTTCAATGGATTTTCATTCGTAAACTGAAAAGTACAATAACTGAGGCGTTCGTAAACCGAGGTACACCTGTACGTTCATGCTCATTGAGTAGTTAACCCTGACACTAGAAACTAGTGCTTTTAGGGCTTGGTAAACTAGCGGTTGGGGGAGCTGTAAAACCCTGTGGGTGAACCACATTTTTACTGCTCCCCCTTTAGCCGCAGAGGTAGCCATGGGAGATGTATACACGCTGTGGCAAGAATTCAGCCATGGCCGCGGCATGCTTCAAAGGGTTAAAACAGGCAGCATGGTGGCAACAGAACCCCTTCTCACTGTCAAATACTCTCTAAAGAGATCCAAATGTAGATCGCTCATCAGAGAGTAAATCTAATGTGAATAAGCCCAAAAGCAGAATAAGCAAATTTAAAGTGAATCAATGGAAAATGATCAATCTTACCGAGATGCACCCGTTAAGGGTCTGTTCACACCATCATGCTGCAGTAACATGTATTGGTGCTGCGCAGTTCTATTCATTCTGCATGGCGGCCCAGTGTACCTCCGCACCCGTTGCAGTTCATTCCACAGCAGAGCATTAACTTGGGGTATACTGCATGTGCGTTTTTTTGGTATGTTGCGGTGCATTTGGCAGTCCATTTAAATGAATAGGCTGCCTTTTAATAGAATTCATGGAAATGAATAGCATAGGTAGCATTAAAGCAAGTGTGGTAATGCAATGCAAAAGCCCTAAAGCAAAAATGCAACAAAACCGTGATATGCCAATCTTTGTTGTCAGGACTCTCTATATTGGTCAGGAAGGTTTCAAAGAAAGAGAGCAAATAGTTAGCGTGGGTGGATGCCGTTATGTGCCATCAATGTGCTGAAACTGCACTTTAGGAATTTGAGGGTCTCTTTGACCAATCTTGAATAGACCTGCATCCTCTGCTAGTCAAACACTGAAAAATGTATTTGGCTCATGGTACTTTTTTATTTGAATCCAATGCAGTATGTGCCTGGAGTGCCAGAATCCCCTTCTAAATGTTCGTTTTTTTTAAGCTGTGGGGGGGGGGGGGGGTAAAAGAATCTGATTGGCCCTTAGCCCCAGTTCACACTGCTGCAGCTTATGAGACTTGTGAAACATAACATGACAAGTCAAACACATTCGTTTCCATGAGTGTTATCCTAATCCATGCAACTCAAGTTGCAGCAACAAAAGTAAAAGGTTCCAGCTCTACTTTCCTGCAACTTTGGTACAACTTAAGCGCCATAGATTGCAATGTTAACCACTTCAAGAACGGACACTTTCACCCCCCTTCCAGTCCAGGCCCATTTTCAGCTTTCAGTGCTATCACACTTTGACAATTACGCGGTCATGCAACACTGTACCCATACAAATTTTTTAGCAATTTTTTTTAGACCAATAAAACTTTATTTTGGTGGTATTCACCGCTGGGATTTTTATTTGTTTGCTGTATAAATGAAAAAGTCCAAACATTGTGGGAAAAAAAGTGTTTTTCTTATATAAATATATAAATGTTGCAAATAAATAATCTTTCTTCATAAATCTTGACCAAAATGTGTTCCGCTATCTTTTTAGTAAAAAAAAAATGACCCAAATTAGTTTAACCAAAAATTATAATTTTTCTAAAAATGTTTACTTTTTTTTTTTACATACTGTCACCCTAGCAGTACAGTGTCACCATAGTGTGTGTGGGGGTGATGAAGAATTTTTATTTTTTTTTTTACACTTACCCATAAAGGCTGTAATCATTTCTCCTTCTCTCTGGGTGCATTCTTGCAGCCATTGAGAAATACTGTGAGAGCTGTGATTGGTCATAGCTTGTCACATGGTACAAGGCTGTTGTGAATAGCCCTGTACCATGTGACCTCTGTGATCATTCACAGATTTCACATGTAGTAAGCAATGATGTCAGAAGTGACATCATTGCTTACTACTGTTCATGGGATCACTGATTGGCCAATCAGTGATCACATGATCGGGACCTCACACAGAGGTCCCTGACAGCAATCCGTGTTCCGCTGTGTCTAGAGGACACAGCGGGCACCGGATCACAGTGCAACTTTTTCCAGGGAGCACGCACAGGCAGGGAAGTGGGAGGACGTTTATAAACGGCCACCCACTCCTGCACTGCTCTCGTCCGGCCTTTTATGTACATGGGCCGGACGGGAAGTGGTTAATCAATGCAACTCAACTTGCAGCGACAAAAATAAAAGATTCCAGCTTTATTTTCCTGCAGCTTTGGTACAACTTAAGCTCCATAGATTGCAATGGTAAATCACAAAAGTTGCAAGCAAGTTGCAAGGAAATCTCAAACAAGTCGCACAACTTTGGGGTGCGGCAGTGTAAACTGAGCCTTATGGGAAATGGTTTCTGTTGAGAGAAATTTTGTCTTGGCCACTTTTTTCCCTTATATCCCCCCCATTGTGTGTAACTCATCTAACATCCTTTGATCCTGTTGGGGGCCATTCAGAAAATTGTTGGTAATCAGTTTTATCACTTTACTGAAAATGTATAATTGTATCTCAGAGACTGATTAAAAAAAATGCCAATAATTCACATGCATTGTATAGAAATGGCTTAATTTTCAGCCAGTGTGAGCTTTTGAATTTCTCCCTTTATTTTCTTTAAATCCGAAAAAGTAGTGTTCAATGTACATAGGAAAGTAGGGTCTGTAAGAATGTTGAAGCTTATCGTCCACCTGTTTTCTCACAGCTGTTCTTAAGAACTGAAAGAAATGGCTTCGATCCAAAACAAACTCCATCCATGAAGAAGACCAGGCGTCCAAGCTCAGAAGCTCAGGAAGCAAAATCCAAACGCAGGCGGAGTGACTCCTCTAAAGTAAGAGCATTTCTGTGCTCAGGGGGATTCTATGTTTTGTGTCTTCTGCTACTGTGGTCATTGCAAATGTCCCGTTCTCAGGCTTCTAACAGAACTCCAGGCAAATAGAATTGCAGCGTTTCAAATATATTCCACAAATATATCCAATTCAAAAGTCATCTGGTAATGGTACCCACCCATCTAGGGACTACTGGAGTAAATGGTTGGTAAAAAGTTTTGCTTCCTTAGCCACATCTCTTCCCAAGCCTACTCATTGGATAACAAAGGAGCAGCACATGAATGAGATTCTGTGATTTCCCCTCCTATTATCCCTGTACTGTGTTGGACTGCTACACTTTGCAAATCAATAAAAACCCATTTTGGCTCAGACTGCTGACCCTCCCTTTCCCAGTTTTAGAGCTGCTGTATAGGGGATTACGGAAGCTATTATAGAGAAATATATAAGCCATTCATACATGCTGTCTGTATTTAAACTGCATTACATATATAACTGGATTAAGGGCTGTTATTTGCCTGGCATTCCGATTTAAAGCTCAGCTTTACAGTTTTGACCATATCTTCATTCTTTTAGTCATTTTTATTCTTTCTCTTGGCCTTTTTTCATCATTCTGTATTCTGCCCACATTTTAAGTTTTTGTGGATGAGATAGATGATTTGTATTACAGACGTTCATAGATGTGTATAACTAAATGGATGTTAATTGTAACCATATGGTATCTGCTGGACCAGTGTACAGCTCGTTCCACTCTTTGACTACAGGAAGAAATCCAAATAGATTGTGAATAGTCCCACCGACTATACAGCAAAATCTGAGAATGTTAGGTACAAAACTGGGAAAAGCATGATAAAAGTATTTAATGTAAGATCAGGTATTTATACAGATGATTTATGGAAAAATATGAGCAGTATCCATTCATTTTTTTTTCTGGAAAAAATCCCCTCTTTACTTGTTCTGATCATCGCTGTCACCAGGAATGAAGGTGAGGGTAAATCCAAAATTCTGAGATGCCCACCAGTACTGGGATGGAGGTATACAGCAAAATCTGAGAATGTTATTTACTAAACTAGGAAAAGCATGATAAAGTATTTAATGTAAGATCAGATATTTATACAGGTGATTTATGGAAAAATGTATGGGCAGTATCCATTAATTTTTTTCTGGAAAAAATCCCCTCTCTACTTGTTCTGATCATCACTGTCACCAGAAATGAAGTTGAGGGTAAATCCAAAATTCTGAGATGCCACCAGTACAGGGATGGAGGTGAAATCTTCCAATGGGGACATTTGTCCCTATAACTACTGTACAAGAGGAAATTTTCACATTGCACCGATCTTCTCAATTCCTGTCTACAGCATAGGAAGCAACAAGAAATTTCCTGAAGCTTACTTAAACCCCTGTAAAAAGTATATATTTTCTTAAAGCGGAGACCCTAGAGATTACAGAGGTGGTAGTTGCAATTTTTAATATCACATGAATAGACATGTTTATCCAATGCAAATTTTTGGAAAAATACAGTAAAGTTATTAATGCACAAAAGTACAGTATATTGCCCAATTTTTTTAGTAAAACACAAAAGATGAGGTTGCAAGGGCAATCTGATACGCAACGTATTGAAAATTGTGCATGCCCATGAAACGGCGACAAACTTTAGTGCCCAAAATTGTCCATAGCTGAGACTTTAGCCTTTACAGGTTATCAAACCACGACTGATGGCCTGTTAGAAATTGCTAATCCGACATCATGCTAGTGTCATTTTGTTTGTAGGTTCGCCCACCATATATGCTTATGTGTCTTGGTGGGGTCTTGACCTTTTTTTTATTTACTTTTATTCCATTTTGTTGTTATTGCATAGATCAGTGTTTTTCAACCTTTTTCAGTCAAGGCACCCTTTAAAATTAGGGACAGTCCCGAGGAACCCTTTAAAATTCTGGACAGTCTTGAGGCACCCCATTCTAAAATGGGGTGCCTCAAGGTTGTCCATAATTTTAAAAGGGCACCCCATTCCAAAATGTGAAAGACTATTCTGATAGTGTTCTATAACGCAGCAATATCCACAAACGTAGGACACCCAACCTTCGAGGTGATTTATTGTTCCAACGCAAATACAATTTTGCACACTGGTACTGACTAGTATTCCAGTGTTTCTCTTCTCCCTCAGTTTTTGTCCATCACTGAGCTAATATGACCCCAGGACTCATGGAGAGGGGCAGGGGAGGGTCAAACTAGGATGCTGTGCAGGCACCTGACATCCTCTTTATTAAATGATGTCATTGGTTGTCAGGATGCCGGTGGCTAGGTCATAATGATGCACAAACCTGTGGTTTTGTGTAACTAAAAAGCTGGCTTGTATATAAGTTTTGGGCAATTTTTAGACATTTTGCCAGGGTACCACTGATAAAACCTCAAGGCAGCCCAGGGTGCCTGGGAACCCTAGTTGAGAAAGGCTGGCATAGAGGACCAATGGTCTATTTCACCAAAGCCCATTCCCTGCTTTACAAATTTAAACACAGTCCTGGCCTGTCAGCCGCCGGGGTTTTATTTTTTTCTTCTATTTTTTTTATTTTGTTGCAGTGGGTGAGAATACTGTTCGAAGCATGGCTGCTTGATTGTGACAGCTTTGGTACTGTGAAGCAGGGCAGTAAAATTAACTCTGGAAATAGTTATCAGGATCTCATTTGCTTCCTTACGTCTGTATACACCCTACTGCTTTATGATTTAGGAAGGTCCCTTTACATTTCTTTACACCTGTCTATCACTTCCATGTGGGTAAGCATAGAAACCTTACATCTAGCCCTAGGGCTCATTTACACTTGCTTCAGCTTTAACATGTTTAAGAGCCTAGCGCTTCAACATGCTTTTTTTAATGTGTTTTAGATACTTCTGTGATGCTACGATGATACTTTTTTGAAGCTTTACTGAAGCTTGCAAAATGCAGTCGGTGTTGTTGATTTTTTTTTAAATTTGTTTTAAATGGGCACAACAGAACCCCAGCTCAGTAGTATGCCCACTCAGCAGTTTCCCAGCTCAGTACCACTGTTCAGATCCCCAGCTCATTGGTAGCCTTGTTTCAGCCGCTCCCCAGCTCATTGGTAGCCTTTTTTTTTTTTTTTTTTTTTTTTTAAGTCCCAAACGTGCAAACTTTCGTAAGTGCCAAAAAAAGTGCTGCGAACACCCACGAAAAAGTGCACTTAGGGGTGTTTGTGTCCTACCCCAGGTTTGGACCGTTCGCTGATCCCCCGGGGCCAGCTCCTGACAGGGTAGGCCTTGTTGGCCAAAAGCCTGGTGGACCTCGTTCCTTATGCCCAGCCGAAGCCCGAGGGGGTTCTCCCGAAGAGAAAACCCCCTAGGGATCATTGGTAGCCTTGTTTCACACATCCTCCCCCGCTTCCCCGAGGACCCACAGCTCACATAAGAACAGAAAAAGTGACAAACGTGGGAGTGCATAATAAATAAAGTAAAGTAAAGTTGTTTACCGTGCCGAAATGTGCACAGACCAGGCCTGAGGCCTGTAGCAAAAATTGCCCTGAACCAAAAGGCCTGCTCCTTAGGGCGCTCATTGGTAGCCTTGTTTCAGCCGCTCCCCAGCTCATTGGTAGCCTTGTTTCAGCCGCTCCCCAGCTCATTGGTAGCCTTGTTTCAGCCGCTCCCCAGCTCATTGGTAGCCTTGTTTCAGCCGCTCCCCAGCTCATTGGTAGCCTTGTTTCAGCCGCTCCCCAGCTCATTGGTAGCCTTGTTTCAGCCGCTCCCCAGCTCATTGGTAGCCTTGTTTCAGCCGCTCCCCAGCTCATTGGTAGCCTTGTTTCAGCCGCTCCCCAGCTCATTGGTAGCCTTGTTTCAGCCGCTCCCCAGCTCATTGGTAGCCTTGTTTCAGCCGCTCCCCAGCTCATTGGTAGCCTTGTTTCAGCCGCTCCCCAGCTCATTGGTAGCCTTGTTTCAGCCGCTCCCCAGCTCATTGGTAGCCTTGTTTCAGCCGCTCCCCAGCTCATTGGTAGCCTTGTTTCAGCCGCTCCCAGCTCATTGGTAGCCTTGTTTCAGCCGCTCCCCAGCTCATTGGTAGCCTTGTTTCAGCCTCCCCAGCTCATTGGTAGCCTTGTTTCAGCCGCTCCCCCAGCCTTGTTTCAGCCGCTCCCCAGCTCATTGGTAGCCTTGTTTCAGCCGCTCCCCAGCTCATTGGTAGCCTTGTTTCAGCCGCTCCCCAGCTCATTGGTAGCCTTGTTTCAGCCGCTCCCCAGCTCATTGGTAGCCTTGTTTCAGCCGCTCCCCAGCTCATTGGTAGCCTTGTTTCAGCCGCTCCCCAGCTCATTGGTAGCCTTGTTTCAGCCGCTCCCCAGCTCATTGGTAGCCTTGTTTCAGCCGCTCCCCAGCATTGGTAGCCTTGTTTCAGCCGCTCCCCAGCTCATTGGTAGCCTTGTTTCAGCCGCTCATTGGTAGCCTTGTTTCAGCCGCTTTTGGTAGCCTTGTTTCAGCCGCTCATTGGTAGCCTTGTTTCAGCCGCTCATTGGTAGCCTTGTTTCGCTCATTGGCCGCTTGTTTCAGCCGCTCATTGGTAGCCTTGTTTCAGCCGCTCATTGGTAGCCTTGTTTCAGCCGCTCATTGGTAGCCTTGTTTCAGCCGCTCATTGGTAGCCTTGTTTCAGCCGCTCATTCAGCCTTGTTTCAGCCGCTCATTGGTAGCCTTGTTTCAGCCGCTCATTGGTAGCCTTGTTTCAGCCGCTCATTGGTAGCCTTGTTTCAGCAGCTCATTGGTAGCCTTGTTTCAGCAGCTCATTGGTAGCCTTGTTTCAGCATGGTAGCCTTGTTTCAGCAGCTCATTGGTAGCCTTGTTTCAGCAGCTCATTGGTATGGTAGCCTTGTTTCAGCAGCTCATTGGTAGCCTTGTTTCAGCAGCTCATTGGTAGCCTTGTTTCAGCAGCTCATTGGTAGCCTTGTTTCAGCAGCTCATTGGTAGCCTTGTTTCAGCAGCTCATTGGTAGCCTTGTTTCAGCAGCTCATTGGTAGCCTTGTTTCAGCAGCTCATTGGTAGCCTTGTTTCAGCAGCTCATTGGTAGCCTTGTTTCAGCAGCTCATTGGTAGCCTTGTTTCAGCAGCTCATTGGTAGCCTTGTTTCAGCAGCTCATTGGTAGCCTTGTTTCAGCAGCTCATTGGTAGCCTTGTTTCAGCAGCTCATTGGTAGCCTTGTTTCAGCAGCTCATTGGTAGCCTTGTTTCAGCAGCTCAGCTTGGTAGCCTTGTTTCAGCAGCTCATTGGTAGCCTTGTTTCAGCAGCTCCCCGGTACCCTTGTTTCAGCAGCTCCCCCGGTACCCTTGTTTCAGCAGCTCCCCGGTACCCTTGTTTCAGCAGCTCCCCGGTACCCTTGTTTCAGCAGCTCCCCGGTACCCTTGTTCAGCAGCTCCCCGGTACCCTTGTTCAGCAGCTCCCCGGTACCCTTGTTCAGCAGCTCCCCAGCTCAGTAGTAACCTTCAGCTCTGTTGATCCTCTGGTTTGCTTATCCTACTCTCTGGTCCCCACTCACATCCTGCTCTATTGCGCTCAGGTTGGGCACCTCGTGATGTTTCTCTTGCTCCAGTTTCCCAGCTCTGCTGATCCTCCTGCCGCTCAGTCCTCTCTCTCCGTTTCCCGCTCACCTTCTGCTATAGCGTTCCCTTGTTGTACACCATGTGTGCCGTCTGCTGGTTGCTCTGCTCCGGTCCAGACCTTGCTCACCTTCCTGCTCATCCTCGCTGCACACCAGATGTGACGTCTGCACCATAGTTCCAGAATATATACACATGATTCGGAAGTGACGTCTTTCTGATTCGCTTATTGGTTTCCCACTGCATCCTGGGATATCCCATACCTGCAGTAAAAGCCTCTCAAAAGCTGCAGGTGCTGTTAGCAAAGTTTGACACAGTCTTCTATGGAGGCTTTGGAGACACTTTGAAGCACCAAGACAGCAAAATGGGGTGTAATTTTTTAAGCAAAGCAAACACAATGTATAAACAGGATTGTAAGCTTACTATTTTATTTAGTGACAAGCGGTTTGATTAACATTCCAAGTGCTTTAAAAGAGTTTCCAATGCCATGTTTTGGGGCAAGTGTAAAGGAGCCCTTACAGGACATCTAGAAATATGGGATAAAGTACGTGTAGCTTTTTTTTTTTTTTTTTTTCCCATGGGGAAGTGGTAGGTGTTATGAAATGTAAAGTGATACTACCACTTAAAGGTCAGTCCACAACTGTCTTCATTTAGCTCTAAACACAGGATTAAGTCATTTTTACAGTTTGCACATCGCCGAGTGACATTTGAGCATTCTCTAAAGAGCAGTCTGAAAGCTTTAATGCCCTGTACAAACATAATGAAAGTTAAAAATGCCATACACATAGTTGATTATTTTGCTGTCATAATGTAAAATCTCAGTTTCCCCAGAAAAGATGAAACCCAGCAAAGTGAACCCTGTGAAGATAGAAATGCATTTGTTGCCTTTTTAACTTGTTTGAAATTTTTTGGATTCTGGGGTATCTTTCTGGGTTGAGGCTTTTCAATTTTTTTTTTTTTTTTTTGAACATGTGAAAGGCTAAATTCACCTTTTTGAACGTTACACCCGTATTTATTTATTTATTCCAGGTACTTATATAGCACTGTCAGTTTACACAGCGCTTTACATATCTATTGTACATTCACATCAGTCCCTAACTCTCAAGGGGTGTACAATCTAAGGTCCCTAACTCACATTCATACATACTAGGGCCAATTTAGACAGGAGCCAATTAACCTACCAGCATGTGTTTTGGAGTACCTGGCGGAAACCCTTGCAGGCACAGAGAGAACATGCAAACTCCAGGCAGGTGGTGCCATGGCTGGGATTTGAACCAGCGTCGTTAGTATTACCATTTACCCACTGTGCTGTAACATGTTCAGCATGCACCTCCTCTCCCCTCGATCCTCCCCTTCCCTGTGCCAGTGGGCAGGGGATCTTCTCCCCGCTCCCACTATCACAATTTGAAAGCTGTGCAGCCTCGTGTGGATCCACCTACATGGCCGCGTCATTTACTCAGCGTTTCCTGTAAATGAATAGAGTACAAATACTGTCAGTTGTTGCAGCTTGTAGTTCTTAATGAATTGTGAGAGTGCTGGTGAGCGCGCTCATAGTTCATTGATCTTCCTGCTTTCAAGTAGCTGCCTGCCTATGGGGCTTGCTGGAGGCACAGGCAGACTGCTCTCCTGGGAGCCTGCAAGAACCTGACATTGCACCCACGATCTGCTGATCGCAGGTGCAATGCTCTGCAGGCTCCTTAGAAAAACAAATAATGCCCTTTACCTTTTTTTTTTTTTTTTTTTTTTTTTTTTTAATGCACTTCATCCTGAACCTGCGTAAGCTGCTGCAGTGCAGTGCAGCTCAGAATTCAAGCATTTGTGTGGCTGCAACAAGCAGCCCTTCCACATTTTATAAAATGCTTGCATTCTGAGCTGCACTTCAGCTTTTTCAAAATCGTACACAATAATGCTTTTATGAACTACACTCAGCACTGCAGAGGAGGTGGCAGTTGTGCATTCTGGCCACCCTTGTATTGGGATTGTCAGTTGTCCATTGTCAGAAGAATTGAACACAGTCTTGCCTGTGGTATCACCCATGGCCTCCCCGCTGCTGATCTTTTCCTTATCACTTACTGACCATGCTTTATTCCAGTCTGCGTCTGTGTGGAGCCTGAAATCTTAGTAGAGGAGTAGGGTTTTGCTTCCTAATGTCAGAGATGCCATGCTGTTGACTGGTAATCTGATGACTGATGGGAAAATATTCAAGCAGCAGCATATGAGATGTAGAATAAATGAATCAAAAGCAGGGTGATGCTTTCTGGAGCAGCAGAGTAGCAGTACCACTAAATCTCACTTTATATCCAAGACTTGCAGTCAGAGGTGTACAGTGGCTTAGATCTCACACTGTAGGTATACAGATAAGAGGTTCAAGACACAGGAGGTGTAATGCCATTTTTTTTTTTTTTCCCCCCCAGGTACTTCTATAGCGCCGTCAATTTACACAGCGCTTTTCATACATATGTTGTACATTCACATCAGTCCCAAACCCTCAAGGGGCGTACAATCTAAGGTTCCTAACTCACATTCATACATACACATACTAGGGCCAATTTAGACAGGATCCAATTAACCTGCTAGCATGTGTTTGGAGTGTGGGAGTAACTGGAGGAAACCCACGCAGGCACAGGGAGAACATGCAAACTCCAAGCAGGTGGTGCTGTGGTTGGGATTCGAACCAACGACCCGAGTACTGCCAGGAGGAAGTGCTAACCACTTAGCCGCTGTGCTGCCCATACTTGTTAAACAAATAGCATTGCTAAGATGTTCCTTTACAGTCTGGCAAGTCTTTTTTCACTTTTAGGTTCATAACGTTCTGGGGTAGGTAGATTAGAAATACAGATCCTTTTCCTACATTTTGGTAATTTTCAATTAGTTTCCTCTAAGCTGTCTTGCCAGATTCTAGGTTTGTTGTCCCCTGATCCGGTAATGCAGTTGTGCTGATATACTGTGGTGTTTACAAGCCGTGTTTGTGTATCCTAACTGCATGCTTCCCTACTTTCAGTTTTCACTTGTATGGATCCATTCTTGTTTCTGATTGTGTTCCTTTTTTCGTGCAGTCATTAGGTGATGGTGAAGCTGCTAATCTGTCTCCAAATCAGAAACCTCATATATGTGAACATTGCAGTGCTGCTTTTAGGAGTTCCTATCATCTACGCAGGCATGTGCTCATACACACAGGTATGTTAATTGCCGTTTTAAGCTGCTTCAAATGATGACATACAAAGAGATCTTAGACATCTGTGGCTGCTTGTCTAGCCATGTTACTTTTTGTTTGTCCCTTTATATCATTTGTTAAAATGAAACTCCAATAATTAAAAGAAAAAAAGGAAGCTATAAAATAATTGATTGTATTAAATAATGCTAGAAGAGTAATCTCATCTCATACCTCCTGCCAACCAGGCAATGTACTCATCTACACATGCATGAGATCGTGCTGTGCTCATAGATTGGTCCCACAGTCTCCTGTCTCCTGGGACATGTTATGTGTCCCGGAGGTGGAGGGCAGGGAGTGTTGGGGCAAATGTCCACAATTCTCACCTAAGTGAGAATTGTGGGAGCGGGTATCTCCTGAAAAGGTCAGTGACTCTTCAGTTTTTGATGGAAGGTCCGCTTGAGATTTGTGTGTTTACTCATATAAACAGAAAATAACATGTTTTTATCTGTCGTTCTATAATACAGGACGACGGGCAGACATTTACATAAGCCGGGCCCTATTGGTGTTTGGTGCATAGCCCACCTTCCCCAGGCTTGTACGCTTACCCATTCATAATTCTCCCGGTCTCTGAACTCACAAGGGTTTAGATACCTAGAGGTCTGGGCAGCAAAGGCTGCGAAGGGAGGACATTGCTTGCGTCTCAAATGACATGACCAGAAGACCAGGAAGTCTGGAACGACTTATAGTCTTGGTACTGATATGTGCTGTACAAAATCTAGTGTAGAGGAGATGTGCTGTTTTCCTTGAGTCTAGAACACGGGTGATGTGGAAAAATGTATTCCATTTAAGGAATGGGGCTTCGAAAGCAATATAGGATTTACTATTGATGTCTTATCTTTAACATAGCAAAAAAATGAAGTAAACGAGCGCTGGGTAAATGAACAAAATATATAAACGAAAAAGCTGCTCGCATAAAAGGTAAACCTCTGAAAGCTCCTCATAAAATATATAATAAAAAATAAAAGCGCTGGATATTTTATATTTTTATCTTTAACATAAATTACTGATTTTTAAAAGGTTGAATAATGGATACAAACAGTAAAAGTTATTCCGGACACAACTTCCTTTTGCTTTCTTGTTTGTAGGTGAAAGGCCATTTCAGTGCAGTCAATGCAATATGAGCTTCATTCAGAAGTATTTGCTACAAAGACATGAAAAAATACACAGTGGTATGTATATAACAGGTTTGCAGGTGTTACTTGTTGGAACAATTGCAGTATCACTTAAATGGAAACAAGATTTGACACCCCAGCCTACACATATCAAAAGAATTCCAGTAAACTTCATTTTATACTCATTGCTTTCATCCTGGAGATGTTAAAGAACACATTTCCTGTCTTTTTCTTTGGAATACACATTTCTCTAAAGGAAAGAAATGTCTTTTCTACCCCTTGTGACTCAGCCTTTTAGCATAAACAGGGAAACCTCTTTATTGAGACTTGCTTTTCAGCTGGTGTGAATTGTGTCCATTACACAGTTATTTTTTCTGTGATTTATGCACATACATGTATTATACTAAGCTTTCCTTGTGCAAAACTTGAGTTGTATTCTAAAGAAAATCTATGCTACGATTAACCACTTCAAGTCCGGACACTTTCACCTCCTTCCTGTCCAGGCCAATTTTCAGCTTTCAGCGCTATCTCACTTTGACAAGTGTGCGGTCATGCAACACTGTACCCATATGAATTTTTTAGCATTTTTTTGAGACAGATAAAACTTTATTTTGGTGGTATTTATTCACCACTGGGATTTTTATTTTTTTTGCTATATAAATGAAAAAATCCAAAGATTTTGGAAAAAAAAAAAAAAATGTTTTTAGAATATTTTGCAAAAAAAATAATCTTTCTTGGACAAAATTTATTCCGTTATCTTTTTAGCAAAAAAATAAATAATTTTTAGTTATAAACTAATTTAGGTTGTCTAATTTTTTTTATTTTTTTTTTAAATTTGTTTTTAAATACTGTCACTACTGTATGAAGATTGTTTTTTTTTTTTTTTTTTTTTTTTTTTTTTACACTGATTGCTTTTACAGCCTTTATGAGTGTAAAAGCAATCATTTCTCCTTCTCTCTGGCTGCATTCTTGAGAAATACTGTGAGAGCTGTGATTGGTCACAGCTTGTCACTTGGTACAAGGCTGTTGTGAATAGCCTTGTACCATGTGACCTCTGTGATCATTCACAGATTTTACACGTAGTAAGCAATGATGTCAGAAGTGACATCTTGCTTTCTACTCTGCATGTGATCACTGATTGGCCAATCAGTGATCACATGATCGGGACCTCACACAGAGGTCCTGTACAACAATCGGTGTTCCACTGTGTCCGGAGGACACAGCGGGCACTGGATTGCGGTGCTGCACGCTCCCAGGGAGCGCGCACAAGCAGGGGGGGGGGGGGGAGGCCGTTTATAAACAGCCACCTACCCCTGCACTGCCACTGTGCGGCCGTTTATATACATGGCCTGGATGGGAAGTGGTTAAGAAAAAAAAAAATTGCAGGTAAAAAGTGCATTTACTGTTTGTTTTTTTTTTTTTAGATCAGATCACCGGTGCCATGCAGGACTCCTGCAAACTTGTCAGTGTATCTGCTTGCCTGTACATCCTAATGAACTACCACAACGCTCAACAGTGCTGTGGTAGTTCATTGAGAACTTCAAGCAGACCGCTTCAAAGGCTGTTGGGACTTGTAGTTCATTCACAGAACTCTGTGAATGAATGTTCTGGCCGTGTGGGAAGAGCCCTGCATGGCTGCGCTGTTTCAAAAAGTGACAGCTAGTATGGTGAAATTCTCCCTGTACTGATGTAACAGCAAGAGAAGGCAGCAGCTTCGGCAGTGGGAACATGTTGCATGGTCCCAAAGGTGAACTTATTCTTTAATCGGTACGTTTGTTAAATTTTAAAAGTCACAGATTTGGAAAAGAATGTAGCAAGTGATGCCGCTTTTATTTCACCATGTTGGTGCAGAATCTTGCTGCCTTTTTAGTGTTCGCTTTGATATTGCCACTTTTATGAACTAGCGAAGAGAAAATGTGGGATTTTGGGTGCCTAGACTGAACGTGTTGACCTAAAACCAATTATAACTTGAAATTTGCTTATTTGATTTTTCTTCCCCTAGGCGAAAAACCTTTTAACTGTGACCAGTGCAACATGAAGTTTATTCAGAAGTATCACATGGAGAGACACAAGAGGACTCATAGTGGGGAAAAGCCATATAAGTGTGACACATGTCTGCAGGTACAAATTTTATTGTATGCCATAGATTAGTGGAAAATTCTGGATGTGTAAACTGAGCTGCATGTGTTTAGAATTTTCCAGCTAATATTTTTCTCATGTTGGCCTAGTGCAGTGGTGGGCAACCTTTTTTTTTTTTCAACTGAGCCAAATCTCGCCAAAACCACGATTGAAATTTATTTTGAGAGCCACATTTTTAAAACTGAAAATACATCCCCCATATATAGTAACTCATCCCCCATATAGGTAATTCATCCCCCATATAGTAATTCATCCCCCCTATAGTAATTCATCCCCGCTATAGTAATTCATTCCCCATATTGTGTCAATTCACTTACCTTTGCTCCGCGCGTTCCTCTCGCGTGTTCCCGCGCCGTTCCGGTCTTCAGGGCGGACTGTGAGAGGAGAGGAGTTCGTCAGGCTGCCCCGCCTACATCCTGACAGCCAATGTTTGCCACGCTCCGCGGGCCGGATTAAAAGGTCCGCAGGGCCGTAGTTTGCCCATTGCTGGGCTAGCTGCAGAGTCCTGACTTTTGGGGCGGCCGCCCGAGAGGAGGGAGGGGGAGCGGGCACCCGGCACACAGAAGAGCCGCATTAGAGTGTGTAAAGAGCCGCATGTGGCTCGCGAGCCGCGGCTTGCCGACCACTGGCCTAGTGACCTCCTGATGTGCCAGTGCAAATGGCAACCTGCTCATTTCCATAGACATGATACTCTGGTATTTTAAGAGGTTACTCAGGTACTTGGCAATGCATCATGTGGGTAGGTGCAGGGCGCATGCATATACCATTACCAGAAAACAGAAGAGAATGCCGAGGGTGGTACTGAATAGAAATATAGTTGTGAGTAGTATGGCCTGAGAGTTTATTCTGTTTTTGCTTGCACAGTCCATTTGCCACAGATTTTAACCTGGTCCCTGCTGACGTGGCGCATATACGTGGCCTCTTGGTGGGTGGACTTTAACCTCTTCATGTCGGCAGTCCGCAAATAATCGGCCATGCGGCGGCTGGGCCTTGACGTCGAGAGGTCGCATATTTGCTTACCATTTGTAAACAAACGTGCTGAGAGCCCGCGGCCTGGGTGCTCCCAACACGTGTCTGCGTCCCACGGAAAGGTCTCAATCTCTCCTTGCGATTGGGACCTTTCTAATCATCTGACTGCCATGACGGCCAATCACGGTGGTCAAATGACCCTGAACCCTGCCCTGCCTCCCAGAAACTCCTTAAAGGCACCAGTGTGAAGGGGTTAAGGCTGAGAGGCCACCTATATGCAGCCCTATGTAAACACTCCTCTGTGCTGAAAGTGCACACCCTGCACGTTCCCAGCACAGACACCAGCAGGAACCGGAAAGCTCCCGATGCATACTAGCAATCGGAAGCTTTACAATCATGTAAACGTTTGTGGTTAGCAATCACGTGACCCAAATGCCCGCCTCCAGATGGGCGAGAGACTCATTGAACGTAAACCAACTCTGAAGCTAGAATAAATACTTCAAAATATGGTCTCCTTTTAAATGAAAGACACAGTAGTTACCTGTCAAGCTGCACCACTGATCTTCGCTCTCTTGAAGGAGGTATGTAGTCTGAAAAATCATCAGTATTCAAACTCAGTCATGTCAAATGCCTTGTTCCCTGATGTGCTTTGGGGTTCCTTCGGCTGGCCCCTACATCAGTACAAGACATAATAGTGACAGGCCAGATCACTGAGGGAAGCAGGGGACAAGGCACCCAAGAGCATGTTGTATGCAGAAGATTTTTCTCTCCTCAAGAGGGTGAACATCTACGGCTTGGATGGGAGGAGATAAGTATTTTCTTTACATTTAGAATTGATTCCCAACTTCACAAAATCGTAGTAGACATTTGTATGGGATTTTCATTTTGTGTAGAATTTCTGTAAACATGTAAAGAATATTATGAATTCAACAATATTTGCATACCTCCCTCTGTGCCCATTTGCTTTGGGTAAATTATGTTTTAATGTTCCTATCATGTATTGGCTCAGTGAATGATTTTTGGATCGTTTCCTTTTTTTTATATTTTGGTGTGTTTTTGTTGTTTTTTTTCTTTCTATTTGATCACTCCCTAATTTACTTTGCCATTTGTGTTTTGACAGTACTTTTCAAGAACAGATAGGTTGTTGAAGCACAAAAGGACATGTGGCGAATCCATAAACAAAGGACCCTTGGATCCTGGGTCATCACACCCAAGTTTGGATCATTTATCTGGTAACTTTGATTTATCTCAGGGAAGTTCACATTTTTCTGGTCGAAAAAAAAGCAAAGTCCAGAAATGGCTCCTCACACAAGGACCTTAAATCAGGCAGCAAGTTGAGCGAGGCACACCTGGCTGCTGGCATTGACATTCAGACTTATGCAGTGAACGTTCCAATTGTGTCTTCCGGTAATGGCCCATCCAGCACTGGTTTGGATCTGGATGCCAAGGTGCCAAAATTGTTGTTTAAGAAGGCGGGCCGGAAGCAAGCAGAAAAGAATGACCTCTCCTTGGATTCCCAATCAGCAAATATGGCCATGCATAAACTTTCAGATAAGGCAAATGGTCCTCTAGATATGGTGAGCACTACCAATGTAGACACCATGAATCTTCTTCACACGGCAGGTAACAAAGGTTCTACTAGTAGCAATTATGACGATGCAATGCAGTTCCTGAAGAAAAGAAGATATCTACAGTCCACTGGCAGCAACAATGCCTATGCTGTGAATGTAGGGCATATGGGGGCACAACAGTCTGTCATTCAGTCTGCAGTTTCCAGTGTTATGGAAGGGGACGGCCCACTAACTCTTATTGATTCCCATGCCTTGAATGTCGAAATAAAGAACTGCCATGATAAATCCGTCATTCCTGATGAGGTGCTTCAGAGTATCTTGGATCACTACACTCATAAATCGGTCGGACACCCTGATGTGTCATTCAGCATAGGCGAACAACATGTAGAACTGCAAACGGCGAACGATAATGATTTGGTCCAGGAGGAACACGTCTGCTCAGATTCTCAGTCCACACCAAATGATAAGGCCAGTATGTTTCAAGAGTATTCAAAATACCTTCAGCAAGCTTTGGAAAGAACAAGCCATACGTCGTCATTCCCTTTGGGTCCGAGTTTACAGTTTGTTAGCCTCTCTTCATCTCTACCCAGCCCTTCTCTCTTTTCCGACAAACATATATACACTACATCTCCTCTTGATTGTGGCTTTAGTCAGTCTGTCACATCAGTAGTATTGCCGTCCACTTTACCAAAGTCGAACTTTGGCATGGTGGTTGGCCCCCAGACTGGCTTTTCCTTATCTCTGGAGACAGCGCAGCAGCAGTTGGCGCAGCAGCAATTGACGGCACAGCAGCAGTTGTCGGCGCAGCAGCATTTGACGGCACAACAGCACTTGTCGGCGCAGCAGCATTTGACAGCACAACAGCACTTGTCGGCGCAGCAGCAGTTGGCGCAGCAGCAGTTGACGGCACAACAGCAGTTGTCGGCGCAGCAGCAGTTGACTCCTTCGCAAGAGTTAGCTGATCAAATCGACACACAGAAACCATTAGACACCTCCTCCAGCTACCAGATCTCATCTCAGGAATTGAATGGGCGGAAAGATCAGCAAAAGAGCCTGGAGACACCTTCGGGCTATCACCTTCAACCTCAGGATTTGGCCAGTTCCTTAGAACAGCAGAAAGACATGAATCAGCAGCCGTGCCAGATCGAGAACTTTGCACAAGCGTTTGGTTCTCAGTTTAAACCTGGCAGCCGGGTGCCAATTTCATATAACACTAGCACTGATGGGGGAGTGGATCACAGGTTGAGGACTTCAACTCCAGAATTCTCAGGGTACACAACTTTGCTATCTGATGTAACCGAAGCAGGTAGCACACGTGTGAAGACTTCAAATAGTCAAAGTTTCAGGTGAGGATTTAAGTTGCCCCCCTCCCCCCCCAACGTTTTGAGGTCTTTTAAAACATGGTGTATTTTTTTGTTTGGATAACACTGCCATCAAAATGTTTCTACACAATCGTTAATAAGAATTATGTAATCTATGCCCTGTCAATGCAATTTTTTTTTTTCTTTTTACTCTAAAGTGTTGTGATAGTTCAGATTGTACCTAATTTTTAAACTGAAATTAGTTAGTTTGGGGGGGGAGGGTGCGTGAACAGGGTAGCCAAACCTAATTTGGGAGATCACTGCTCAGTAGTCAGTTTGATTTCTTGATTACGAAATCCAGAAGGACAAAAAGAAAGATGCCCATTGTATCAATTTTTGAAAATACAGTTAACGAATTTAAAAAAAAAAAAAATTTTTGGACTCAGGAATGGAATTTTGAGCTGAAGGCACATAAATATATGAAGATTTCCTTTTAAACCATGACATTTTGTGTTTTCACTCGTCCCAGCGACATATTGTCTTCAAAGTAGGTCACGTCTGTAGCCTGTATTCCGTCATATATTTAATATTCTTGGCAATAGCTTTAAATTAACAAAACGTAAAATTTACTATCAAGATTTTTTGACAAATTTATGTATGTACAGTGTTCTTTTTATTATTTTTTTTTTTTTTTCCTTTTGATATACCTCATTTTTTACTGTTCATGCAGCATTCAGGAACATGTATTTTGCAATATCTTTCAAAAATAAAAAAGAAAAAGTTGTGTTCAAATGATTTTATAGGGGTGTATAGACAGCAGTGCCGTTGACTGGTATACATGCCGTTTTTTTTCTGTTCTATTCTATTGCCTATGTAAAAAAAAAAAACAAACCTATTATTGGCTCAGTCGTATAGTAGTGATCATGTGTGTATCTTTCTGAGGATGGATTCTTCGAAGTGTAAATGGAGTTAAATGAGCCACGGTGATTGGCAGATTCCCATGAAATGCTAAAATTCTATTTTTTTTTTTCTTCAATGTATCAATAGTTACTACCATAGACTGGTATCCTAATTGGGCTCAGTCGCAATTACGAGTTGTGTATACAGACCTTATCTCGCCATCCCCCCCTCTTCTCCATTTAGTATTCAACTTCCTTCTATTAAGTCATCACTGCATATACTGTACAGTGATCCAGTAACAATTGTGGCTGTTGGGGCCTGTGCCCGACAGACCTTGAGCTGGTGTTGATTGCTTCCGTTTGGCATCAGATTGAGGAGCTTCTGAGATCAATCAGAATGCAATGACTGTTGCAATTGACCTGCTTCAAGTGTGTTTTGCATTCTCATAGACGTGTATGGGAATGCTAAATATACCGGATGTAAACAAAAGCCCTTTGACACAGGACCTTTTAGTAATTTTTCTTTTACAGGGAGTCTGCACTAATTGCAAGGCAGTAAGAAGTGTTCTTTTGCTCTACGTTTTTTTTTTGATGCTGACGCATGAAACCTGACAGGTATATTCGCTGAAATGATTGGTGACCATTGAGCAGTGCAGATCTACAAGGAACGGAACTAGGTACACATGTGGATGCTTGGGTCTGCACGAAAACTCCTAAGGATTCGTTCAGATGGTGCTGGCACATGTACTGCATGCAGGCTGCCGGCTGCCTTTGTTTTGACGTCTGCATCCACTCCAAGCTGCCTATGGAAGGGGATACAGCGGCTGCACGGAGACAGCCGCATGTCAAAATTGACAGCCATTGCAGGAGTGTCTCGTCACACACCTGAACGAAACTAAAAATATTACTGACACTCCTTGAGGCCTCATACAGTATAAAATTAGTAAAAGGATTTTTTTTTTTTTTTAGTTTCAAAAGCGCTATATGCCTGGCTGTGTACCGGCCCACTGGATTCAGTACTCTTGAGTCGCAGATCAGGTGCAAGTATGCAGACTAGTAGCCGACATCCTCTGCCTTTATCGCATGCCTGTACTAGAATAGCTACTGAAAGTATTGAAGCCAGAGGCATCCAGGCAGTTAGCATTTTCAGGTTAGCAGCGGTTGTTTTCTTTTGTGGGACAATTCCCTAGAAAGCAGGATGATTCTATAAAGGACTGCTGAAAATAATTTACTGTACAATGGTGTCAAGAAAGATTTCACACTGACTCGGCAAATGTTTTAATGTAACAGGCCGAGCTGCCAGGCGGTGTGATTTTTTTTTTGGGGAGTTGAACTTTTTTGACTACTGGCTCGAACTTTGAGCAGAAGTCTTTAATTGCCTAAATCTGTTAATAAACAACAGCGTAAGACTGTTCATTCGCTAAAAAAGACATGCTGTGCAAGATTTGCAGCTGATCTTCATGTAATTGTCTAATGCTCAAAACTGAAGGGAGCTGCCCTTTAAGTCTTATTTGGATGAAACGATTTGTTGAGATGTGACGTTAAGGTGACCAATCCGTTTTCCCTGTCATGTAGCACTGAAATCCTGTTTGTTGATGTATATGAGTAGTGTGACATACGTAAAATTTGCTGCCTGATGGGTCATATAAATGCAAGTAAAGAGAGGGTGCAAGTGGAGCTTGTATGTATGCAGCTGTTCCCCATGCAGCTTTGATGTCTCAGAAATGCTTTATGTCCCGTGTGTGTTGTCTGTAGTTCGGTGTTTTTTTTTTTTTTATTTTTTTTAATAATGTGTGGAGAGCAGAAACTTTTTATAGGGCTTTTTTCCTGGCTGATTCAAACTGCAAGCCGACAAGGCAACGTAGCACACACGCAAGGTTAGTTCTTGGCCTCACCTTGGCCTCAGGACCAGTATTTTATAGAATAACAGTTAAATGAACCTAAAACAAAACACAGGTTAAATCAGAAGGAAAAAGCTATGTGTGGATTTGTATATGTGAGTGTTAGGTCTAACAGTGTGGATTTTTCAGTGCCTGTGAACACAGCGGTGTCAGTGCTTAGAAGCACTTTGGTCTTCTGTTGGTGACACAGCACAGTGCAAGTCATCACTGAGCATGTGCGGTTCAGGCTAGCTAACTCCCAAGGATGTGAACCAAATGCTGTAAATGTGAAGGAGATTTAAAAGATTGAGGAGCTTGCCAGAGTGGGATTCTGTGTAGGCCGTACTTTCCATTTGTGCCATCCATTTTTGTTCTGATACCACTGTCGGCTTTTTGTTACCCTAAAATTGCCAAAAGTATCAAGCAGGCTGTGTTTGGTTGTGTTAAATGTTAAAGCAATACTAAAGGTTCATTGTTATTTTAAAAAAAAACGTTATACTTCTACTATGTGCAGTGGTTTTACACAGAGCAGCCTGTATCCTCCTCTTTTCGGTTCTCTTGCCAGCGCTCCTGGTTCCTCCTTTTCTGTCAGGTGCCCCCACAGCAAGCAGCTTGCTATGGGGGCACCCGAGCAGGCATGTTCGCAAGCCGCTGCTCCGTGTGTCTACTCACACATGGAGCCGCATCTTGGCCCGCCCCTTCTCATTGGCTGACTGGCTGTGATTGATAGCAGCAGGAGCCAATTAGCTTTTACAACCACTTTAAAGAGTTACTAAATCCAGGTCCCTATCTCCACTATATCCGGTACCCCACAGCACATGGAAATGCAGTTTTTTTTAGTAAATATAAAGTGCTAAATACCTTTTCTCATCAGCAGTATAGAGCAGTCTTGTGATTTTTATCAGTTCAAAAAGAAAGTAAAAAGCGATCGCTGTAAATCAGAAGAGCAGCCAATGCACCAAAGGATACCAAACAACCTTTCAAAACATGAATATATATAGGGTGCGGCGCTCAAGCAATAATCAATACATCAAAGATATAAATAAAACATGAATTGTATAAAATACATAAAGTGACTTGTGACAAGGTGCCAACATATAAAGTGACTTCAGTGATATCATGTATTCCGTCACTGTAGGAGTGACTCGTGGTGAACAAGGATGATGGAATAGCCAGGGAGCACACAGAGTGGAGTGCTCGGGGAGGATCGGTATCCTGCACACAGTCATCAACAACCCACAGAGCCGTATTGAGGAGGAAGTGAGGCCATATTGCCAGCAGAGGAGATGACTGTGTGCAGGATACCGATCCTGCCCCGAGCACTCCACTCTGTGTGCTCCCTGGCTATTCCATCATCCTTGTTCACCACGAGTCACTCCTACAGTGACAGAATACATGATATCACTGAGGTCACTTTATATGTTGGCACCTTGTCACAAGTCACTTTATGTATTTTATATAATTCATGTTTTATTTATATCTTTGATGTATTGATTATTGCTTGAGCGCTGCACCCTATATATAGTCATGATTTTTATCAGTGTCTGGCCGAGCACTGGTTAAAGCTTGTAGTTTTCATTCTCCGACTGTCCTATGGGACTGTATGACCCTTGACCCTCTGTCTGGACAGTGCTGATTCACCATGTGCTGATCACATGGGGGAAAAAAAAACTCCTAGCAGTACATACCAACCTGAGCATGTGCAGAGTGCCTGCTAGGGCTCTGTACAATCAGCGGATGGATTGGGGACTGTGGAAGAAGATTAAACCGACTTTTTACACAATGTGGAGGATTAACCCCTTAGGCTCCACACAGAGTATAACGAGCATGCATTACTGCATATACAGACTGATTTTGCTGTTGTGGGTTTAGTAACACTTTAACATGCAGTCTGACACTCTAGTTTTTTAAGATCGCGCCTTGATTTAAGTTATGTTTTTACGGTTTTAATGATCTTTACTGGCCATAGCTTACTAATGGGGGGACCTCTTTCCATGTGGCCCTCTTTACACCCAGATTTAAATCGCAGCCTACTTTGTGTTCATGTCACAGCAAAAACCAAAATAGATGAGCACAGGCACTGGCCAATAATTCTTGTGATCCTTTTAGGTCTCCAGTGAGATCTTATGTTGCCAATCCAGATGAGGAACTTTCAGATTTGTTCCCTAGTCTAAATGCAAAACATTGAGAACCCTTTGACAAGGTTTTTCATAGTCGCCTTTTGCAAGTAGTTTGAGCCAATAACTCGCATACCTAAAAGCCGGTCATGG